AGAAGCTGGTGAATGAGAAGCGACTTCAGCCTCGTAAAAAGTCGTTAAGAGACATTTTACAAGAAACTGTTCTACTTTTGCAGAAAAGTTTCCTGCCGGAGATGCGAGAAAAGCAGCTATAGCTGAGCTAAAGCTTAAAGCAGAGCAAAGTAAATCTGCGTTTTCGTTTATTATATATTTTAGTCTACACCAAGGACATTAGCTAGCACATATTAAGACATATTTTCAGCCAAGAAAAACAGGACAATGCTGTTGAACAAGAGCCATTTGGGAGCCGAAAGAGTCGAGCTGACTCACTGAAAAGAGCTGCAATGCCCAAAGTTAGCTCCGACTGACCCCCGCCTTCACATTAAGAGTCCTTGTCAGAATAAGCCCAGAATATAACTGCAGTAGAACAATAAATCTTTTTGGGTGACAGACGTCTATAAATCTATTGTATCAGCCTAATTTCTCCAGTTCAAAACTAAAGAAGCGAACCTCACTCACCCAACACGTCCTCGCTCGCCGACTACATTTGGATTAAACAGGAAAACTGTGCAAATTTGATTTTTCCGTGAACCATCCTTTAAGTGAGAAAGGCCTCCGGAGGGGTGGGAGTGGGGGCAAATTACATCTCCCTATCATTCGTGACGGCGAAACCAGAGAGCCTTTTAGCACCGTGTTAAGGAGGAAAGAGTGTTTTTTTTCCCTCCGCCGAGTGCGCATTCATCATCCCACCTCCCCTTATTATTTGCAAATATTTGCAATTTTAATGAGGCTCATTTGCATAATTCCTAGGATCAACATAACTCTTTGTAGCCCACGGAGCCTGGCACGCTCGGCACCCTCAACATTTGCCTTTGTGTTTAAAGAAAGTGAAGGCTGTAATTTTTTTTTCCCCAAGCACTTTTACATTCGCATTTAGGCTATGAATTATAGTGCACCGCAATAACAATGACACCCCGATCTGACACATGCAAAGCATTTTCAGCAGAGCTGCTGCTGTTTAAGGACAACCTGAAGAGATATATATATATATATACATTGTTGCGGTGTCAAGCTTTTTCAAAAAGAACCATCTACAGCACATTCTTAAGAACCCTTTCATGATGCAAAGAACCCTTTAATCATGCAAAGGGTTCTTTAGGTGTTCATGGTTCTATATAGAACCATTTTCTTTACTAAAGAACCCTTGAAGAACCATCTTTTTTTAAATGTGTGGGATGGACTCTAGCACCCCCTGCAACCCAGGAGGATAAGCGGCTTAAATGATGAATGAATGAGTGAATGATTATCTGAGACATTGTTTTACAGTAGATTTGAGGAGCTTCGTTTATTTTTTAAAATCTTCATGGAGAGTTTGTGTGAGGCAATAAAAAGCATGTACTTGGTCATATCATCTCTTAGTGAGCACTTTTAAACCTCTTTTTTTTACCATTCAGTATCAACTGTTATGAGAATTTGTAGAAATATGTTTGTTGCCTAGAAGCAACATTGTGCAACAGTGGAATGGCTTTAGCCAGTCACAAGCCAGGTCTCACTACTTCAGTGAAGACGGGTCTATATCATTTCTTCCCACTGTCGCTCAGTGTTGCCTCAAGGCAATATAGTTCAAAAGGAGCCCTGCACACATTATTTTTTAAATGTTTTTGAATTTAATTACTGGGAAAAAATAAATCAAGGACCATTTTATACAAGAAAAGTGAATTTAGTATTTTTTTAATTGCTATCATAATGTATGCAGTACAGGGTTAATATTTATGATTATTTAACCATCACCAACATTTCATTAAAAGGTCAGAAGACGTGTAGGTTCACTGGTGGTTTTGGATGGTAAATAAATGGCTATGTTTGCACTATAGACATGGTTGCAATGTTTTCTTTGGGGACTATTTTGCCTTACAACACCCTGCATGTACCCTTCCACCATGTGTTTTAAGCCTTAAACCTTTAAATCTGCCTTTAAAAACTATTGTGAATTCATAACCATTTCATGTAGTAACTTTCTGTGAGGGAGCTTTTAGAGGTGGACGTCTGGTTCCTATCACCACCACTGTGAACAGCTCTGACTCTGTTTCTCTAGAACAGAGCGTTTCACACCAAATCACTCTGAATGACTCTGTTTACATCTCAACCATTTACTTATGAGGTAAAATGGATTTTTTGGGTTGTGATGAGAAACTGCATACAATATAATATCTACAGGTACAGCGGATGAACATCAGCTGCTATGATGGAACATTTTGTGAGTCATTTTTTGCTTAATCTACGCTCGGAGCGAAGCCTCTGCAGGGTGTAAAGTTTTAGCTTAGCACAGAATCAGCTCTGCTTCTGTTTCTGGCACTGATTGTTTGATTGAAAGATGAATGACTGCGGATTGATGTGTTGTCTTATAAATATTTATGAGTTCACTGCTCTGCATGAAGCCAACAAGGCCGAGATCAGGACTCTCCCCGAGATCCACTCTCTACCTTCATTCCAGCTTCCATTCTTTTCAGGAGACTCACTTTCAGTTCCTCAAAGAATCTGCAGACACTCCTCCAAAGTTCAGTCTTAGAAGCTGGTTGATCATTTTCTGAAGTAATCAAACACATTCAGTGGTGTTGAGGTCTGGACTCTGGGGTGGTCAGTCCATCGTTCAGCTTCTTTGTTTGATGTGTCCGTCTCCTTTTCTCAGTGAGGTTCTTCTTGAACAGCTACACATCCTTTCAGACCCACAGCGCTGAGTCGTCTTCTCACAGTGGAAGGATGGACAGAAACACCTGTGGATGTTTTCAGATCTGAAGCAGCTTGATTTTCTCCTCTCTCTCAGAGATGAAAGCTTTAAGTGCTGTTTATCTGATGGGGGCAGTTTTGGTGTCGACCAGGTCTTCCAGGTGGTTGTTAGGAGACACAATTTCACTGTAGCTTTTTATCAGTTTTGAACAGTTTTTGTTTTTTTTCCACCAACTTGATTTCCTTTGACTTTCTCCTTCTTTATGCAAGAGTCAAGAAACTGTTACTGAAAAAAAAAGAAATAAAAAAAGAAGAAATTAAACAAAGAAGCTGCTGGTGTTCTTAGAACAATGCACAGGGCCCTTCAGACGTCTGGCTCTTATCACCACCATTGTGAACAGTTCTTACTGGGCAACGTTCGCTAGAACGGAGTATTAGACCACCCTGAATGACTGTTTACATATTAACCATTCAATTGTGCAGAAATTTTGAAATATCAGTGGAATTTACCGTTTAACAAATACTGTCTGTGCTCCAGCCTACCAACTGTCTGGAAACCCATTCCTGCTACTTAAAAAAAAATCCAGAGCCTTTTTTTTAATTATTCTTGAGTTGATTATTATGCTATTATTTTGTGATATTAAGCAATTATTTTGAAATACTGTCTCATAATTGAGATACTAAGCCTTTATTCTGAGATGCTTTCTTATTATTTAAATTTAAATATATATTTACTTGTATTTTCGTTTGAAAAACATAAAACATCTCAAAATGATGAAAAAGCATCTCAAAATAAGAGTGTTAAAATAACAAGAATGTTTCTCAAAATAATGAGAGCATTTCTCAAAACTGTGACATCTCAAAGTAATGAGATAGAATCTCAAAAATAATGACTTACTATCTCAAAATAATGAGATAGTATCTCAATGTTTTAGTGTCTCAAAATAATGAGATAAGAACTCAATGTTTTTAGTATCTCAAAATGCTGAGATAGTATCTTAAAATAATGAGGAGTATCTCAAAAATAATGACTTAGCATCTCAAAATAATGAGTTTCTCAATGACTTAGTATTTTTAAACAATGAGATAGTATCTCAAAAATAATGACTTACCATTTCAAAATAATGAGATAGTATCTCAAAATAATGATAGTATCTTAAATTAATAAGTAGTATCTCAAAAATAATGACTTTGCCTCTCAAAACAATGAGATAGTATCTCAAAATAATGCCATAGTATCTCCAAATAACAACACATCAAAATTATAAGACAGTACACTATGTGGACAAAAGTATTGGGACACCTACACATTACACCTACAGGATCTTTCATGAATCCCATTCTAAATAAATAGGCATTAATATGGAGTTGGCCCCTCTTTGCAGCTCTAACAGCTTCCACAAGCTTTCTACAAGATTTTGAAGTGTGCCTGTGGGAATTTTGCCCATTCTGCATTTTAATCTTAGGCTTGTGTGAAGCTGTTCGGCCATAGAAACCCATTTCGTGAAGCTTCTAATGCACAGTTCTTTTGCTGATGTTGCTTCCAGAGGCAATTTGGAACTCATTAGTGAGTGATCCAACAGAAGACAGGCACTGTGCGCTTTGGCGGCCCGACTCTGTGAGTTTGAGTGGTCTACCACTCTGTGGCTGAGCTGTTGTTGCTTCTAGATGCTTCCATTTCACAATAATAGCACTTACAGTTGTCTGGGGCAGATCTAGCAGGACAGACATTTCACAAAGTGACTTGTGACAGAGGTGGCATCTTATGACAGTGGCATGTTTAAAGTCACTGAGCTCTTCAGTACGACCCTCTACTGCCAGTGTTTGTCGAGACTGCAAGGCTATGTGCTTAATTTTATCCACCTATTAGCAGTGAATATGACTGAAACACCTGAACTCAAGTTGGAGGGGTGTCCCAATACTTTTGTCCATGTAGTGTATCTCAAAATAATGACTCAGCATCTCAAAAGAATGACTTTAGCATTTGAACATGATGAATTAGCATCTCAAAATAACTGCATTGTAATTCACTTAATCATGAAAAATAGTAATTAAGTGCTGGATTTTTATATTGAGGCTCATGAAAAAGCCCCATTCCAGCTGTTTCTGCCTTTGCTGGGTCGATGCCCCCGGGTCACAAAAGCCAATCAGAAATCTTAAAACCACCTCGGCCACGCCCCCTTTCCCGCTGAACGTCAGGCTGCGTTGGCCTTGCGCAGCCTTTTACCTAAGACGACCTCGGGCTTCTTTCAAACAAGGAGCGGAGACGAAATAAATAAATAAAGTAAGCTCAAACTAATTTCAGAAGATACAAATCGCCGCCGTAAATCAGACAGGAATCACGTGCAGCTCGAATCAGATCAGATCTGTGTGGAACCGCAGTGTCCGAGCTGTCTGCGCTACCTGAACGCAGCCTTGACGCACACACGCAACAGGAGCGGAGAGTGGAGCTGGTAGATGTTTTGATGCTAGCTTACCAGCTAACCTTTTTCGCGTACTGGGGCAAAATTCGCCACTACGGTAAGTTGTATCTCTAAAAAAGAGGATTTGGGGGCGAAACCGCGGAGTGTGAGGAGGTGAATCCGGGCTAAGACAGACTGTCTTACAGGGCGGTGACGGTTAGCTCAGTCAGCTAAGCTATGCAACTAGCCACTGTGTGAAGGTCCAGACCAAGGCTGGTTTAGCCATATTACTCCACCCAGGTTCCTTTCCACAGCTTTCCACAACACATAAACACACCACAGTGACAAAGCAGCCTTTAAAACTGCAGATGCAGCCTCCTAATGAGAAAGCTGAGGGATACAGTGTTGGGAAAACCCCCTAAGAGCATCTAGAGGAACTTCTGAGAGGAACCAAGACCCAAACATCCACCCTGCTCTGGAAATATGAAGTGAAGTAAACATTTCCCCTCCACTGTCTGATTCAGCTGCTCCTGCTGAGCCACTATTCTGTGTTTCAAGTCTTCTTGACATCAACACGCCTGATCCAGCTCATCTTCTGATTCTGGAGCCCCTCATTAGCTAGATCAGGTGTGTAGAGCAGGATTAAGGTGTGGTTCAGTGGTCTCCAGCCTTCCTCCTGGAGATCTGCTTTCCTGCATCTTATGTTCTGCCCCTCCCTGACCTAACACTGCTGCATCTGATCCAGCCGATCAGGAACTTCTGAAGAAGTTCATTAGCTGGTGCAGGTGTGGTGGATTGTGGTCTGCAGGACAGTAGATCTCCAGGACCAAGGCTGGTGACCACTGGTTCAGTTGAATCCGACGAAGGAGAACAATGTTTATTTCGTTTCATGTGTGCGGAGGAGGGCGGATCACCCTGTTTGAGTGTTGTCAGCTTCGTCAGATTTGAATAGAGATTTTATTCAGAAAGTACAGAATTTCAAAATCCTTCTTTTCTCACCCAGAAGTTTTTCCATTTTTCCCCCTTCTCTGTTTCCGAAGGGGAACCATGGAAAATATTTGACTTAGCATCTAAAAATAATGACTTTTTGACTTATTTTTTGACTTTTGACTCCAAATGTGGAAGTAATGACTTGTTTTCTTGAAATAATGACTTAGTATTGCAGAAACGCATCAATCATCATTTACACTGATGAATTTGTTTACATCTCAACCATGGAATTATGCTGAACTAAAAAAAAATTAATGGAGTTCCCTTTTAGGACTCCCACACACTATATTGAAATAATTAATTATTAAATGTGAAAAAAGTAAGTAATTTAAAGTAACTAAAAAGGACAATTATTCATTATTTTTAAAATAATATGTCATTAGTTTGAGATTATATTTAAGTAAGATTATATATAAGTTATTGTTTTGACATAGTCTATGTTTTAATGAAGTAAGTAAATATTTGAGAAAATAAGTTATTATTATAGCATAATTAAGTTATAAACTAAGTCAGAATTCTGTCATAGTAAGTCATTATTTTCAATAAATAAGTCATTGTATTGACATTGTTGATATTTTGATTTAGTGAGTCAATATATCAAAAAATATGTCATTATTATTGCATAAGAAGTCAAATATTTGTGAAAATAAATCATTTTTATTGAATGATAAGTCAAATATATGAGAAAATAAGTCATTGTGGCATAAGAAGTCAATTTTTTGAGAAAATAATTATGGCATATAAAGGGTCAAATATTTGAGAAAATAAGTCATTATTATGGCAAACGAAGTCAAATATTTGAGAAAATAAGTCATTATTATGGCATAAAAAGTCAAATCTTTCAGAAAATAAGTCATTATTGCAGAAGAAGCTAAATTTTTGAGATAAGTCATTATTATGGCATAGGAAGTCAAATGTTTGAGTAAATAAGTCATTATTATGATACAAGAAGTCAGATTTTTGAGAAATAAGTCTTCATTATGACAAACATTTGAGAAAATGTCATTATGGCATAAGAAATTCAAATTTTTGAGCAAATAAGTCATTGTGACATGATCTTTCAAATTTTTGAGAAAGTAGCTCATTACTTCAAGATGCTAAATTCTGAATTACTGCTGGCAGAAACAGAGAAATCATTATAAGAAGTTCTGAAGATAAATTCTAAGATCTCGAGTTCTTCTACACTAACAGACTACTTGAAAGATTTTGCTTTGATTGAAAGGAATTGCTAAAGTCTCACAGTAACTTCCAACAGGATTTAACTATGTCTATAAAAATAAATGCAAATAACACATTTAGATATTCTTGAATGTTTCCTCTTCTTCTCTAGTATTAAACTAGAACTTCTAGGAACTTCTAGGAATTATGAACGTCATAAAAGCAGCTGATTTGCTTGTTAAAATGTCAAACCTAAATCTAATTCTCTCTCTTCTTTCAGGTCAGGGTTGGGATACGAGCAAGCTCAACGTCAGATTGACAGTGGGTGGGAACGCCCTCGTTTATTGTGCACTTATGGTCAGGATTCGATCCAGCTAAATGGATTGATTGCGTCTCACTCAAGTGAGCTACTCATGGCCTTTTCCAAAGAGACACTTCTCCTTTAGTAGAGGTACATATATGTCCAGCTACTAAGCAGGATATCATTCTCTGAATGTTGTCCCGTTCACTACAGTGCTGTAATTTAGGGCAGCTGTTGGAATAAACAGTTCAGTTTGGACTATCTGCACCCAGGTTTTCAATTCTTACCCACTTCTAGAAGGTCAGGATGCCACGGTCCAAAGAAATTTCCGAAGACCTCCGCAAAAAAGTGGTCGAGGCTCATCAGTCTGGAAAAGGGTACAAGCTAATTTCCAAGGCTCTGGGGCTCCCCAAGACAACAGTCCGATCCATACTGTGCAAATGGAAGCGCTTCGGGACAGTCGGGAATCGACCCAGGAGTGGCCGTCCCCCCAAAATCTCTCCGGGAACGAGGCGGGATATCATCCGCGAAGTGATGAAAAACCCTTGCACCACCTCCAAGGATCTGCAGGCCACTCTGGCCTCGGCCAACATCCGCGTTCATGACTCCACCATCAGGAGGATACTGGGAATTCATGGAAGACCAACTCTAAGTGGCCTTGAGGATAGCATGGAGTTAAAAGCCTCCTCTGAGGAAGAGGGGGGCATCCAAGAGACTTCAGAAAAGTTGTCCGACATTTCGGATGAGTTTAATCGAGACGTAAAGGTCGAAGAAGACCAGAATGACTCGGAATACGATCCCGTCGTGGTTCCCAATGACGAAGAGGAGAATTTGGATGAAGGTGAAGCTGCTGGCCAGGATGGTGAAGACTATCGTGGTGGTGGTGGTGCTGGTGATGACAACAATGAGAAGCGTACCGAAAGTGGAGATGACACTGACAGTGACTGGTGGTGAGATAATCACCTTGGTGGAGAGGTCAGTTGTGGCCATGGTGGTGATGCCAACAATGGTGGAAGTTGTGGTGGTTTGGAGACTGAAGAGGACACAAGAACTTTTTTACTGATAGCACAAAGCTAGCACCTAACCTAAACCGAGTCTGACTCACAATGGTTAGGAGAACCACCAAAATTTCTGAACACTGGGGCGGGGTGGGGGTTAAGGTACCAAACTACACATGTGGTGAGTGATGTCATGGTATGCCTTCTTGGCAATTTAGCCAGTTCTTGAAGTGATAAAGTAGAAATCAGTCATCTAACTGATGAGATGATGTACAGTACATGCAAAGGTGCTTACAGTTTGAAGTAGAATGGCACTAAAGGTAGGGCTGTTATTTAGAGCCCTTAAGAGTTTAATTAGTGAGGATTTTAGGGCCGATGACACTACCAGTCAAAAGTTTGGACACACCTGATTGCATGTTTTTCAAGTTTTTTTTTGAGGCTTTGTGGTCTAAAACTTTCAGAGCTGCTTATGTTTGAATTTATGTCAAGTACATTTTAATTTAGAACTAGCAAAATGTGCAATTGGAGAAAAAGCAGAGTTGATCATTACATTATGCTAATTTATGTTTCCGTTAAAAGTTAAAAAGGTGTCATGTCTCTCCTCGTTAATGCCTTTCAGCCAGTCGTTTTTGGTGTGACCATGTAGGGTGGGGTCTGTTTGGTAGAAGGCCAATATTAATGATTGGAGCAAGTCCATATGAACTATTTCATAGTTAAAAAGATAATAAATAAACAAAACCTGTTCTGTGAGTGGGCGTGTCCAAACTGTTGACTAATTTTTGGTGATGTATACTGGACCAATGTTTGTTCCTTGTATCTGGCTAAAATAGCTGGATGGAAAAAACTTTGAAACAAGCTTAGCTTGGCTTATTCATGAGTTCTCAAGCAAAAAATGCACAAAACGACATAAAAGTCATAAAATTTTCATAAGCATGGCTGTTACTAACTATGAGACACCAAAGCTCAGTTACGTTCTTAAACCGATAGCGAAAGGTCCATGAAAAGTCTAAGATACAGTTTACAAATGCAGCCAAACATTCTGAATGGAGTCGAACAGCCAAGACATGTTTGGTAACAAGCTTGCTCGAATAATTTTGCACTGGAGGCTAATGTCACTTTTATTATAAATATGGACATCACATACAGGTGTGTGCAAAACATTTTTTTAATATATTTTTTTCAATATGTTAAATAGAAATTGTGCACCAAATTGGAGGAAAATGCCATATTTAGCATATTTTGCGTAGCTAATAACATCTTGAAGCCTGAATTTTTCCGTTTTTTTTTTTTTGGTTCATATTTATGGATAACAGTATTACAGTGTTACTTTAGCAAGTCTATTTGAGATTATGTAACAACTCCACTCAGTTTAGAACAAATTATGATTTAGGCATGGAGTTAGCACAATGCTAATTGGTGCAAATCTATAAGTATTAATTACTTGTTAGCTACGTTAGCCATGTAGCTCCAATACAGCACTAAAGAAGCAAACTTCAGACACCAAACATGTCTTGGCTGTCATTTTGGTTAAGGGGGAAATTGTGTAAATGTGTTTTCTATTTATTTATTTATTTGCATTCCCCTCATGGCTATGTTTCACTTAGACCGTTGAAGTCATGTTGTCGTTCTGTAGGCGGCACCATGCCCTTATTCTCATATAAGGAACTGCGGGTCTAAAAGGAATTTCTCTGTGAGAAGAATGAATGAGGTTTTCGAAAATTACTGCTGTGGCATCCTGTGGTAATCAAAAATGTTCCAAAGCTGATATGTTTTGTCTGATGCACATTTTAATTTTCAATATCCCTGGATGTGAATATTGATATATTTAAGATAATGCTACTGTGCACTGAATTGACATCATTAGACTGACAGCTTCCTTAAAAAACGTGCAAACCGACATGCTTTGCCAGTGTGGTAGCCCTACAAGCTGACCTTAAATGATGCAATAGTTACATTCTGGCACCTGGGGCGCTATAATAACTGCTGCACCACTTAAGGTGGAACGGGAAATTTGAACAAGAAGCTGGTGAATAAGAAGCTGAATTCAGCTTTGTAGTTTTAATGCTGGTAGTATTTTTTTTTTATTTGATTTTTCCCAATTTTCTCTGCAATTTAGTTGTATCCAGTTTCACCCACTTGTTAGGACTCCCCCAATCACACAATACCACCAGCGGAGGGTGAAGGCCAGCACAGGCTTTCTCTGAGACTTGTTAAGCGCATCTATTCGAACTGTCGCTAACGTAACGTCCGTGGACAGCTGAACGTGCTTGGAGGAGAACGCTAACCGCTGGTAATGCTGGTAGTATTTTTTGATAAGGTGATTTAAGCTAGCGAAATATCCTGCCCAGAGGTTTTACGGAGCTGCCCATAAATATGCGCTACGGTAGGTCCGTGTAGCTTAGTGACGTGAAATTGTAGCGCAGGAGCGTTAGCTTGCTTGTTGCAACATTAATATTACGACTCTTTAAAGACCTTGTAATTCAGAAGATCTGATGTTATACAGGAGAAAAATGTACACGGTAAAACGTATCGAGTTTGAACTTTTTTATCTACCACAGGGTGCGCTAGAGGCAAATTTTAAAAAACCCATTCATTCTGGCCATAGGGAAACCCGGAGTTTCAAATATGGGCATAACGCAGACTACAGAATGACCCACTACTTCAGTAGTCTAATGGTTAGCAGAATCCTTATTATTGTTTCCTCCAACCAAACCAAAAATGAGATTTGTAACTAACACTTGGAATAAGATACATGCTGAAATAGCATTGATGTTTGAAGCATTGTCCTTGTTTATAGCTCATTATTTCGAATTACTTGTATAAAAAGTAAGTTTGACTGATTCCTAAAGTTCTGTAAATAACTTGTACATGTTTATGTATTTCTGTATTGGACGAGGCCTTCGGGAGGCGCGGAGACGAGAATTTGTCTTGAGTTCCGTTATAAAGGAACTGAGAGGTCATGCTCTGTTGTTCTTTTTGAGCTATGAAAGAGGTATGCTTGTTATTTTTGTGCCAAACCAACCTTTTCAAGGTTGTTAAAGATTGTCCTGTTTTTCTTCCCTCAAATAAAATGATTATCTTTGGGTTGTAAAAGTGTGGTATGTTTGGTCTAAGGGTTGGAGGGGGGATCTTTTTCATGTTGTCCAGAAAGATTACAAATAAATATTGCCTTTTTTGCATTGTGCTCCAAGTGGAGAATGAGATGAATAGCACTGATTTCTGTTAAACCTGCACTATGTAAGATTTGGGGATTTGGATATGTGTAATTGCAAATAACATGCGTGGGAACATTTTGTATCATGGGTTGTGCTTTGGACCGTTTTCTGAGTGGATCTGTATCTGATGATTGAAAGAGAATTCAAAGAGAACCCGGTGAAGGATGTTGCCTGAGGATGTGAGGAATGTGAAGCGGTGAGTAATGTTTGTTCATTTGATGTTCGTTAATAACCCCTTCAGAGAGTTGCTTCACGTGGCTCATCCAGAGGTAGCAATCATGACTGCGAACGAATGGCAGTCGCTCCCGGAGGATCAGCTTCATCTTCGCCAGCATCACAGGAGCCATCATGAAGCTTCACTGACTGAGAGCTGGGTTCATCACCCGGAATGTGTTTGAGCTCACCATAAAAATGGTGTGGTCACTTCTTTGGTTTGCGGCCTCGGATACTTTAAACTTTGCTTTCAGACTTCTGTTCTTTGACGCTGCAACCTCGTTCTCCTGCGGCCACGTTCAGCCATTTCTTTAGAAATCTCTTCAAACACGGAGGGTTTCGGGTCAGTCTTTTCTAATTTTTTGGTACAGAAACATCAGCCTACATGTTTGTGATTCTCAGCAGTGTGAAATTATGACGAATGTTGAGTTGGATTGACGTAAAAATCTAATGAATTTCGATCTGTCTGTTCAGACTGAGTCGCATCGCCACATATCGGATACGTATCGGATTTCAGTTTATTAAAGTGTCGGCACGGTGGCACAGTGGGTAGCGCTGTCGCCTCACAGCAGGAATGGCCTGGGTTCAATTCCCGGCCGGGCGACCAGGGTCATTTCTGTGTGGAGTTTGCCTGTTCTCCCCGTGTCTGCGTGGGTTTTCTCCGGGTACTCCGGTTTCCTCCCACAGTCCAAAAACAGTCAGGCCAACTGGACATACTAAAATTGCGTGAATGTGTATGTCTGTCTGCCCTGTGATGGACTGACGACCTGTCCAGGGTGTATCCTGCCTTCCGCCCAATGACAGCTGGGATAGGCTCCAGCACCCCACCGCGACCCAGAAGGATAAGCGGTTTAGATGATGGATGGATGGATATTAAAGCGTCTCAAATCGGAATTGAAAATGTCAGATTCAGTGTGTTTCTGCTGCTCACACAGACACACATCTGTGTCACACATGAAGAAGAAGATCGGATTTGGGCCACTTTTACCTGCTGTGTGAACAAAGCATTCAAGTGACATTTTTAGACTTTTATACTGGCGTTTTAAAGTCAGTCATATCATAAGCGCTTTAATTCAAGCCTGTGATATTAATGATGGAGTTGTTTAGGCAGTTTGCTATCTTTTAGCCTGTTAGTTAACATTAGCTAACTAGTCTAGTTCTAGTTAAGAACGTAAGTGATCAGCCCCAGTTTAAACAAAAAACGGGTTCTTACTGCATCAGTACACTCAGTTGTCCATGCGAGCAGACGCAGCTTAGCCAATCAGGTTTTATATCGTTTTATAAATGTAATTACACGGCAGTTGATTGTCAGCATGTGCTATGCTTTATGCTCTACCATAAAAAACTACTGAATAGAATTGCGCAAGTTTCTCATCTCACTTGAGTAAGTTTAGACTGGATTTATTTAGCGTTTCTCAATAGAAGCACAGAATTGAAATAATCTCTCTGTGGTTAAGATCACTTTTTAATAACGTCTCTGTAAGTAAAGCCTAAAAGCTTTTGGAAAACCTGACTCATTTACCACGATCATAGACTTGCACTTTAAAATACCTTTTGTAAGAGTGCTTTGGTGATGTGAAATCCTCCTTATTGCTCCATGTCTCATGGCACTTTTCTAGTCTAGGTGTAAACCTGTCGAACATGCTATCATTAACCTGTAACTTCTGCTCTTTCTTTACGCGTGGTTTCAGATTCCGATCCACGCAGACATGAACAGTCTTGAAGTCCTGGGTGGTTATTCTTTGGGTCCACACTTGTTTGGGCGTTTTTTTCTGTTTTTACTTGCAGTGTAATCGTGTTGGATGGAGTTGTGTGCTTTTCTGCTCTCAGGGTTTTAGTTTTGAGGTGTGACCTTAAATGTCTTGGTGGCCTTTTTTATTGACTCAACTTCAGAAATCTCTGTTGTGAAAGCTTAAACAAACAGATTGTAGTACAGTTGAGTCATACTCTAGTACTTCCCCCGAAACGAGGGAAGTAGGTGATTACTCACAGTACATATGCTCTCTACATGTACACAGAGCTCTTCTGGGGGGGGCAGATTGTACTTGATGTAAACTGGTTTGTGGGATAAGTTACCTCAGCCTGGCTACTGATTGCTTCAATGTAGTCACAAGTGGCCTCGTGCCAATGGTAAATCAACAGGTCATTTTATTTCTCAAGATATATAGAAATAATGTGGAACGTCTTAAACAAATTCATACAGAATGTACTAAAAAAGTGCCATTCTCAGTGAGGCAGTAGAGCCCTCCACAGCTAGCATATGGGCATTGCTACTGTAAGACCAGAACTGTGCTGATAGACTAGCATTGCATTGCTGTTAAGGTGGGGTAATCCTTATATTCCAAGGTTCCTGTGTTCCCCATATCATTTATTTTCTCTTAAATTTCCAGGAAACCACCCTGTGTTCCTGGGGTCCCATGTTCCATCATTGACATTTACATGGAAATTAGCTCTAAGAGTAACGTCCATACCAGTAAATAAAATCAGAAATTTAGTTAATGTACTTCATCCCCAATACCATCTCAATACTTTTATCTGCTAACTTGCTGATTAGCAAGCTAATGGCTACACATTTAGCAACAATTTAAATTGCATTTGCTTAACAGCACATTAGCTCAATGAGACTGGCCTAGCTAAGGCAAAGTGTGCTCCTTGTTTGTGTACAGTTGTTCCCTGTATGACCTTTGTTGAACCCATGTGGTACTTATTACCTTGGGAACCCCCTGTTATATATTCCCTAAATGTATCATATTGAGGTATGATCATACAAAGAGCTGAGCACAGGACATTGAGAACATAGGGCCCTGGAATGCGTGGCCCTAGAAACTAGGACTATGGAAATGAAAAAGGGTCCTAGAATGTTGGGCCATAGATACATAGGACAATGGGAACATAGGACATTGGAACCATGGGGCCCTGGGAACATAGCACCTTGGGAACATTGGGCTTTGGGATTGTAGGGCCCTAGGAAAATAGAACCTTGGGAAAATAGGAGCATAGGATCTTGGAAACACAGGGTCCTGGAAATATAGGGCCCTAGGAACATGGAACCCTAGGAACATAGGACATTGGGAACATGGGGCCCTGGGAACATAGGACATTGGGACATTGGACACTGGGACTGCAGGGCCCTAGGAAAATAAAACCTTTGGAACATAGGACGTTGGAAACGAAGGGTCCTCGAAATGTCAGGCCCTAGGAACATAGAACCCTAAGAACATAGGGCATGGGAACATAGGACATTGAGAACATAGGGCCCTGGAAATATAGAACCTTGCGAACATAGGGCTCTGAGAATATAGGGCCCTAGGGGCACGGGCTCTGGAAACACTGGACCTTGGGAACATAGGACATTGGGAACAAATGGCCCTGGAAACAAAGGACTTTGGGAACATAGGGCTCTGGAAACATTGGACCTTGGGAACGTAGGGCCCTGAGAATACAGGGCCCTAGGGACATAGGACATTGAGAACATAGAGCCCTGGAAACAAAGGACTGTGAGAACTGAGGGCTTTGGGAACATAGGGCCTTGGAAACATAGGGCCCTGGAAACATAGGACCTTGAAAAAGTAGGGCCCTGTATTCACTCTAGTTACATTTACTCCAGTTAAGTTACTACAAAAAGTACAAAATCTTCAAGATGGCTGCTACCACTGTTTTTAGCTATGCTAGTGTACTTAAATTAGATAATAGATACCAGTGTGTCATACAGCATCAGAAACCACATAAAAAGGCAGAATTTTGTTTGTATTTGTGTCCACTTTTATAGATAACATCAAACATATTTTGGCTCATTGGCTACATTTTGGGTCAGGAGGCAAACTGTCATTTTGTAATATTTGGCCACTTCACAAACCTAAATACGAGGAACACAGCAATATAGACAGGATGTGAACTCAAATGAAGGTTGTTACACCATAGTCTAAATTCCCAGTGTTGTTTGTTTGCACAATCCTGACTGAACATGCACTGAACGTGTCCTTCTTGTACGCATGTGAGTGAGTGTGTGTGTGTGTGACTGCATCTTCAGAGCTACGTTTCCTCATCAGATGAGAGGGTGGTGAAGCTCTCATGAGGAAAACAGCCAGTGAGTCTAAATACATCCTTCCTTAAGCTGCCACTGCCGTGTTACTAAAGCTGAACAAGTGAGGACTCTGGGGGGGGAAAGCAGCAGATGGGCAGCATCTGCATGTTAACACACCTTTTTGTTTCTTCACACATGCATATACACCTCTATCGCAACTTAATCTTCAGACATACCACTGTTTCCTGTCTTTCTCACACATATACACACTTAATACCTCGTGGAGAAGCATGACTACTGTTCAAAAAACAGGGAAAAAACAGCTATATGATGATGCTCATTTCTGCTAGCGCCCCTATAGGATTCTAGTACTATGTTATTACTTATTATACAACAGTTAGTTCCAGCCACGCAAGCTGATTGGTTGAGAAGCGTTCTAACACAGTTACTGATACAGTGTGAAAAAAACATGCTGTTATGGCGAAATATCACTACGCTGTGATGCCATTGCTAAGCAATGACTTTGACAGCTGTAGGAGACGCTCAAGCCATTTGAACGTTTTTACTTCTTACAAGCAGAAAATGGACACTTACAAGATCACATTTGACCGACAGCCGATTTGGTCAGACTCTGAAGATGAGACGACACTAAATTCCCAAACTGTCATCACCACTGAGCAGCTTTTCAGTCGGCAGCTGAGACAGAAGAACAGCTAAACAACCTGGAATCAGCCAGAAATTAACCCAATACCATTCGCCAAACAAAATGGGTTGCAAGATGCTTTACAGACTGGCTGGAACAAAACAACATTAATACTGATCTGGCAAAAACTGACAAAACTGAGCTAAACTTGATATTGTGGCAGTTTTATGGCTCAGTCCGTATTTCAAAAGGTGAATCTTACAGCAGACTGAGCAGCGAGTGGGCGGAGTTCGTTACTCTGATGTAGCAACAAGCTGCTTGTTAAGGAGCTATAATTTGGTGGAAGAAACTGCTAACATTAAAACATATTTCACGGCCCAGTTTATTTATCTCTTACTTTATTTATTTAGCTGTTGTATAAATGCAATAGAACACTCGAGGAGTGTGTTAATGCGTATAACATCATGGCTGTGATGATCTACGGCAACCAAATCACAGCCATGATGTTATTTGACAATAACACACTCCCTCTCATGTTCTATTGCTTAAGCAACACTGGCTCACATGAACATTCATTGGCTAAACACAGGTATTTAAGGCCTGCAAAATACATTCCATATGTTTTACTTGAAGCTTTTCACCAACATTAACATATATTTTACCATGTAGCAGTTCTACAGTGACTCTTTCAGTAAAGAGTTTTTGCATAGAGCTGCTGCCGCTGTTTTCTGTTCCTAACAACTAACCGGTCCTGGAGATCAGCCACCCTGGAGTGGTCAGATCCAATATCATTAATATTTAGCCTGAAGTTTTTCATTATCTGGATCAGGTGTGTTAAGCTGCTTTTCCACTGCATGGTACTGTCTCAACTCGACTCGCCTTGCCTCGCCTTTTTGGTTTTCCATTAGGCAAACCTGGTATCTGTACTATTTTTGGTATCACCTTCGTCAATGTTTCATGCGAGCTAAGCTGATACCAAAAGGTGATGTGAAAAAACTGCAGACTACTGATTGGTCAGTTGAGAATTCACTGTCACCCTAAACCAGGAGCCAACCCAAATGTTAAGAAGAGCCATTTTGTCAAGTTTCAACAAAATTCTAAGCACATATATACACAGACGTTGCTCTGCTTTAAGCTTTAGCTCAGCTTTTCTTGCATCTCTGGTAGGAAACTTTTTCTCAAAAGTAGAACAGCTTCCTGTAAAATATCTCTTAACCTTCGACTGTTTACGAAGCTGAAGTCGCTTCTCATTCACCAGCTTCTTGTTCTAATTTTCTCTTGCAGTTTCTTGCTGCAACAGTTTCTCGTTGCAGATTAAACATATCAGGAAACCAGCTGGAGTGATTATAAATGCAAATAAGTCCATTCGTTTCCAAATTATCGATGTTCGTCTTAAATCTCTCTCTCTGCCTTTTCGTTAGCTGCTAGCTAGGCGAGATTGTTATCTGTGTTGCTATGGTGACCAGCAGCCTGCACGCCAGCCTTCAAGGTTAAAGGGTGAATTAGCAGTTCTACATTAACTCCAGCATTTAAGACCATTTACTGTTAAACTGTGTTGAACGATCAGCAGAGCTTTATTTTACTGCAAAGGAGGATTATTTTATTTTTACCTACAAATCTAATTCTGCTGTGGAGCCACAACAGGGCAGTAAAAGAGCCGCATGAGGCTCCATAGCCGTGTGTTACTGACCCCTGTCCTGAACAAAATTTGTCTACTTCAAGTGATGTGAAGTGGCATCACTACGATGACCAGCTACATTGAGGGGCTACTATATCTGCAGTGGAAAACGAAGTAGCTGGTACCGAAGTAAGTAGAGTTGAGTCAACTTGAGCCGTACCATGTGGTGGAAAAGCGCCGTCGTTAACTCTGCAGGGTGGAAGGACCCTGACTGGGCAGTGAGGCTTGTATTTTCAGTCAGTGAATGTGTTTACATGCATTGTAAATGAAACTGGTTGATTCCAAAGTCACTTCCTAATTATGTTAGTAGTTAATCCAGTGTTTAAGGCCGCCAGTCCAGCTCCTGAAGTTCTAACCAATGGGAGAGCTCGCTTGGCCGCATCTATCTAGATACTGCAGAGTAAAAACAATCCGGATTGGATGATTTTCTGTTGGGTGGTTCAAGAATTTAAAACTTTTACTTCCCACTAACCCTTGAAATAAAAGTCAAATAAAAGTATTTCACAAACAAGATTCTGTTGAATGAACAATGAACTAAAATGGAATTATATACATTCATGTATATTTAGTTCCCAGAAATCACTATTAGGTCTTCTCAGAAGGCCTATAAGACCCAGAGAGTTCCCCACTGTTAATACCTCATATCTGTACACAACAGTATCATATTTCTCTCTCTCTCTCTCGTGCACTAACATGCACGTGTACTCTCGGTGAAGTCATGGTTGAAGTTCATTGAGTTGAGGCCTGTGTGCTACGTGCATTGCATATACAAAAATAAAGGCTATATCGCTCAGAAGGTTTAGTCTCTTTGTCCCTCAGCAGCTCCAAATCTTCAGTATACATTAGAATAGTCATTGCAACTTTTATGTATTTTGTAATAGAGGTATTTGGCACTGTTATTAACCCATTAATGTCTGTAAATGATATCATAGAATCATCTAAAATCTAGTTAATATGTCTCATATTTCTCATTTTGAGGTTGTTGCAAGAATGTTATAAGATCTTATTTCTACTTGCTTTAATTCATTCTATCTGTTCAGATTTATCTGCCATTTGAATTTCTTTAGAAATACCCTAAACAAGTATGAACCATCTAGAAATAGACTAAATAATCATATAATAATCCTTACAACAACAAAATGGGAAATAGAAGATATAACGATTAGATTTATGATGTTTCATCTGTCAAAGTATATTTTTTTGCAGTACATTTTTTAAATTTCTTCCGACAGCAGCGATATATACTCACACACACACTATATGGACAAAAGTCACTTATCACTGATTTCAGGTGTTTCAGCCACACCCATTGCTAACAGGTGGATAAGATTTGCCTTGTAATGCCTTGCAGTCTCAATAGATAAACACTGGCAGTAGAGGGTCGTACTGAAGAGCTCAGTGACTTTAAACATGGCACTGTCATAGGATGCCACTTCTGCTAGAAGTCAGTTTATGAAATTTCTGTCCTGCTAGATCTGCTCCTGTCAACTGTAGGTGCTATCATTGTGAAATGGAAGCATCAACAACAGCTCAGCCACGAAGCGAAGCGCAGTGCCTATACTCTGTTCACTCACTAAAGAGATCCAAATTGCCTCTGAAAGCAACATCAGCAAAAGAACTGTGAACTAGGAGCTTCACGGAATGGGTTTCCATGGCTGAGCAGCTACACACAAGCCCAAGATCAAAATGCACAATGCCAAGCGTCGGATGGAGTGGTGTAAAGTGCCGCCACTGGACTCTGGAGCAGTGGAAACGTATTCTGTGGAGTGACGAATCACGCTTCTCTATCTGTCAGCATGATGGACGAGTCTGGGTTTGGCGAATGCCAGGAGAGCCTTACCTGTCTGACTGCACTGTGCCAGCTGTAAAGTTTGGTGGAGGACGGATAATAAGATAATAAGAGGAGATAAATGAGATAATGGGCACCTTAAATATTGACTAGGGGATTTTACTGTATAAATTTGATAAGCTTGTGATAAACCTCTTGATTTTATTGCCACGCCACACCTTCTTCCAACAACTGGCTTATTCCAAGTTGCAATTACACGTGGAACAGAAACAGCATCATTCTGGAATATAGCATGGATCATCCTATTTTTTTCCAAAACACCTGCTTGAAAACATGTTTGCATTCAGCATGCTGTGAAACTCAGAACATTACCTTTATTTCACCACAGATGATGCAATGACACAGGTGGGGACTGCTGGGGGATATAGTTTAGTGAAATTTTGTGATTAGAGGGTCTTTGAGAGTTAAAGGGGAACACAATTTTTTCAAAAATTCTCCATAATTAAATTGTTAAGATGGTTACAAAGTCAGTCAGAGTGGTTTGGTGTGAAACGCTCCGCTCTAGATAAACTTACCGAGTCAGAATTGTTCACAGCGGTGGTGACAGGAACCAGACGTCCACCTCTAAAAGCTCCCTCACAGAAAGTTACTACATGAAATGGTTATGAATTCACTGCCTGATGTCTGAGACATTGTTTTGTAACTGTTCTGCGAAGCATTATTTTAATCCATGGTTGCATGGAGGGTGTTGTGAGGCAAAATAGTCCCCAAACAGAGCATTTTTTCAGATTTTTCAGTATGTTACCATCATAAACATTACATTTAAAAGCTCAGGAGACACGTGTAGGTTCACGTGGTGGTTTTGGATAGCAAATAAAATGGCTATATTTGTGTTGTAGTCATGGTGACCCCTGGTTCCTATCACCACCACTGTAAAGAAATCTGAACCATTTCACACCAAATCACTTTGTTTACATCTCAAGGACTGGAATATTCTGGAATTTTGAAAAATTGGTGGAACTCCCGTTTAACTAGGCTACACTTTTCATGTGCTTTAGAGTAGAGCAGCCTTTTAGACATGTTTCCATTATTTTTGTCTGTTTTTTCCTTCATCTCCATGTAGATCATTAACCTACAGGCCTATTCTGATCCATTGGCTGTGATAACGCTGGGTTGTCTAGGTTGTTGTGCTGTTGCTGTGCTGTAAGTGATGAAATGATCCGGGGCTTTGCATGTTCTCCTCACGAGGGCGAAGACCATTGGCCACGAACTCTCCCTTTGGCTCCCGAGCCAAGTCTTCTTTGCCCACACCTGATTGGTTGCTGAGCGTCCGCTGTCATCAAAAGGCTCGTTTCTGATTGGCTCTGGAACCCCAAGCGGCTGTGGGCTGATGCGTTCTCTCATGAATATGTATGGATTCGCTGGCACTGGCTGAGACTCGACTGAAGAGGGAGTAAAAAGGAAACCCCTCTGTTATCTAATCTTTTCATCTTTAGCTACCGTCTCTGCGGATCTCGGTGCTCGGATTAACGTTTTAAGGTAAGTTATTATCGGTTTTTACCTCCTTTTTGGAGTAACGGTTCGAAATTAAATGAATATCAACAGTAGAAACCGGCCGGCTTCGGTTTGGGTAGCAACGAGGCTGAAGTCGGCTTCCTATTCACCAGCCTCTTTTTCGAATTTTCCCGTTCCACCTTAAATAGTGCAGCTGATACATTGTGGCGCCTGAGGCTAGTGCTGTAACTGCTGCACTGTTTAAGGTGGAACGGAAAAATTGGAACCAGAAGCTGACTTCAGCTTCGTAAGCTAACTAGCAGGCGTTAGCACAAGCGGGGAAATTGGTTTATTTGAATTTATTTCCACTTAAAATCGATTTTTACCTCAGTATTTCTGTCAGAACTGTTAAATCTGAGTGAAACTTTGCTCTGAGGGATAGTTCTGTTTTGTTTTAGTGCCGTTTATCGTACCGGTAGCCTCACCCATCTTCGGCCGAGGCGGTTAGCTAACCAGCTTCTGCGAATTTACTTTATCTCTGAGGTGAACTAATCTCGCTCTCTGTGTTATTTCAGGTCAGTGTTATCGGGTTACTGTTTCTCCCAGGAGAAAAAAAGGAGGATTGACTGCTGAAGGGAACGCCCTTTGCTTTAAAGTCACCTGCGCAAGGACCTCCATCCATTTGCAGTGTATAAAAAGGCGAGGTGAAGGTCTGGACATTAGTTCGGCTTAACCAGCGTTAAGGAGCGAAACCCCCCCGCATCTGTTGGGGTATATTCATCTCTCTGTCCCAGTCCTGGAGAGTATCCTGGGTCATAGCGGCGTTTCAGGCGTGTAAGACGGATAACGCGGTTCACTTTGACGTTTATCTGCTTAGCTAATTCATCCCGCGCTTGCGTCTCATCGTTAGTCATAAATTCTCCATCCTTTGCCAGCTTTACTGCGTCTTTTGTTTCACGCTGAGGAGGCCAAGATGATGCAAATCTGCGACTCGTACAACCAAAAGAACTCCCTGTTCAACGCCATGAACCGCTTCATCGGTGCCGTCAACAACATGGACCAGACGGTGATGGTGCCCAGCTTGCTGAGGGATGTGCCGCTGGACGAGGGCGAGATGAAGACGGTGAAGCCTCCATCCACTTACTTCCAGCATGGAGACATGTACGGCTATTACGTTCTCCTCAAATCCATCAGGAATGACATTGAATGGGGCATCCTGCAGGGTGACGAGAGGCGGAAGGAGAAGCTGGGGGTCTCCACCCTCGAGCAGGACGACGAGGAGGACCTGGAGAAGTTGTTCCACTTCCATTTGAACGGGCTGCACGCCGTCCTGTCCAAGCTCACCCGCAAGGCGAACACCCTAACGAACAGATACAAGCAGGAGATCGGGATCGGAGGCTGTGGGCATTGAAGATCCAAGCAGTTTCCCTCCCCCGGGTGGTCCATGAGGTGGGGGGAGACGTTCACCACGCCCGGAAGGTGCAGCCAAGCTGCACCGCGCGGCCCGGATGCTGGTGCTGTAGCGTAACCCATCCCTGTTCTTTTGGAATCGGATTAAAAAGAGAGATAACCTAACTTACCTGACGTGGCACCATTGTTTCCCCCCTAACTAAGACTTCCCCTATTGTGTTTTTGCACTTTGAGTAACTTGGACATGTTTTTGTTTGGCTTGGGATGAAGCACTTGGGTTAATATATGCAGTTTTATTTAAAAAGATATGCAATGGACGTCGCACAAAGTGGGTTGTAAGTTGGGTTGGGAGCTATTTTCTTGATTGGACTGATTGGAGACTATCATAATTTATGTGCAAAGTGCTACTGCTGCATATTAATCAGCTTTTCAAGTGCAAAAAGACTGAAAGCCAATGCCAAACGGTTCTGCAGTATGGGGTAATCAGTGAGATGGAATCAAATGATACTTCTAATTGTTTTTATAGAATGTGGATCGATTCCAGGAGATTATGTTAACTGCTAATTGTCATGCTAATATGTTGAAGGCTTGTCATGTCTGTTTTTTTATCACAAAGCTGGTACTGAAAATAAATTTTGTAACTGATTTTTGGCTTTTGGTTGTCCTTTTTTAAATGTCTATGTACTAAAGTAACTTAACCATTTAATTTAAGTCACAAAATGTAAAATTGGACGTGTTATTTATATTGATCTTAGTCTCGTGTCTGAAGGGATGCTTTTTCTTTCTTTTTTTTCTTTGTTCAAGGAACAGCCAGTACAAATCTGTCACTATGGAAAGTTACCTGTACCACAAATATGTACGCAGGTGCCTCAGCCCGCCTCAGGTGTTGTTCAAAGACGCTGGCATGTCTGTTCACGCCCTGCACAATGTCTGTGGAAGGGATTGAATAGGCCGTGTGATTATATTAAGGCTTAGTGTCATGGAGAGCGATCCTCAGTGCTGTAATTCTGTCTGTCCCTCCCTCCCCTGCAGACTTCCTCCTGCTGCTGAGTCAATGCTGGAACCTTCCCCTCTCCGCTGTGACTAATGTCCTTTAGATAGACTGCTTACTCTGCCGCAAATTGATCTAAATTGATTATCACCCAGCCTCATCCACAAAGGACAGGTATGGGTAGCAGGGCTTTGTGCTACTAAAGGTTAAACTGAGCAGTAACTCATCAACCAAGGCCTGATATGCTGCACAATGTCAGTAGATATTGCAGTGTTGGGCTTTATAGTGTTGAATCTGCAGGAAGCTGCAATTTGCAAATGAGCCGTCTTAGCAAATCAAAGCTGTTCGCTGTGAGTGTTCTAACCGATTTGTGGGTGTTTCACCAAAAAAAATCACCAAATGATCCAGTTTCCAGGCCCATCTTTATTCATGTCATATGTAGAGCTGGGAGATATGACAGTTTCTCAAGGTAACAATATATCACTGCTGTCGGAAGAAAACCTTGTATCTCCATTTTCGTTTTTCAGTTTTTTGACAAGATTTGAAAATGTCTGTCGCCCTTTATATTGTGTGTAAATTTCATGCACAATGGACCAAAAGAAATGGCCCAAACTGACTTGAAAACATTCTGGCTCCACTGACTTGCATTAAAAGGCAAGTAGGTTTTTTCCTTTTCCTGTAAAGTCATCGTTTTGGACATACAAGGTTTTCTTCCGACATGAATGGGTCAACAGTATGATTTTAAATCTGCTGCAAGGCATGTCGTAACCCAAGCTTTAGTTGCATAATCATACTTTCATATCTCATCCATGTTGTGCAGCACTAGTGCTTATTGATTGGAACAAAAACTTGCACCAGTATGAGTCCTTTGACGATAAGCCTGGGAAACAAACACATTAACGTTCACTGCCTACACAGCCTACGGTGTTTTGAGCCAACGCTTCATTTAACTTGGGCTTAGTAAGGGCTGGGTAAATAGGCGTTTCGGTATTCAGAGTGGCTCAATGCAGTTGAACTGGATAAAGAAAAGGTTTTTTGATGGAGCATTTGGAAATGGAAAAGACATTTGGCAGCCACATTTGGAAAATTGGAAATAAATTTCCAACCTATGTACTATAAATATTTTTTGGAGTTGTCTTTTCTAGCAGACTTTTCCGGTTGCTTGACTTTCTTTTATTTCTAGTGTTGTGGCACCTTGGATGTATTTTAGAGCAAAACGGTCAACAGCCGTGTTATCAGGTTTAGTAGGTATGTTTGAACTGGTTAATCACCAAACTAGCTGGACTGGAGCTCCATAGCTCGAACTGGACACCCCTTATCTAAGTTAAGAGTGCTGGGGCCGAATTCACAAAAGTGTCTTCAGGGAAAAAAAACGTCTTAAACGTCTTAAACTTCATATGAATCCTTTTTTTTTTTCTTTTCTTGACTATTTTCTTAAGAATGATTTTAAGAACAAGTGGTTTTCTTGAAAATATTATGATCTTAAATGTTTTCTAAACCTAACGACAGCCTCACACTGTCTTGGGCTGTAAGTGTTGACAAGGTGAGCATGTGTTAGCTGTTTCTTCCTCCATCACCTCTAGTTCTTGTTTGCTAAAACTTTAAACACTTAGTTTGATGTTTTTCCCCATTTTACTCTGAGCGATTTTAACCTAATAACATAAGTTAATACAAATTTAAACTGTATCGTCGTTTATGGTATGTGGTAAAATACAACATAGCATTTATAAGAAAACTATGAAGATATATTGGAAGAAAATCTTGAGGAAATAAATAAGATTATCTTAAGAGAATATCTGAGAACTTCTTAAGCTTTTTTTCCAAGAGTTGCATTTAAGAACGTTGGGCCTCATTCTCCAAAATCGTAAGTTTTTCTTAATTTTGTTCTTGGGAAACGTCCAAAGAAAAAGTCTACGGCAGATTTATGACGTGTTCTCAAAGCGCAGAACTGTTCTCACCTTTGTGCTCTTGAATGTGTGTATAGATTCTATTCTTACCTAAGAACAAATCCTGAATAAGAAAACACTGGTAAATGTCTTTGTAAAAAAGCTGTGTAAGTATGTTTTACGAACAAATTTCTTCTTAAAAACGGTTGATGAATGAGGCCTTTTGTCCTATTAAAATATTCTACATTTCTTCTTCTTCTTGATGCTGTGATGCTGGATATGCACCTTCTAACTGCGAGTCCTAAACTTTAGATTGAAATCAAATTTCCACCAATTTCTCCAAATTTGTGTATCATAAAATATGGCCCGTTCAATATTTTTTTCTATATATTAAACTCAAATAAATAAAAATTGTGTTTTAAAGTTTGCAGAAAAATGACGTTTAAGTTCCCTGTAGACTATCAGCGAAATATAACTTGACTGTAGAAATTCAGATCTCCGCATACGACTGCGTTTCAAGACCATAATGACTTGCAGGATGAAGTCTCTAATTTTTAAAGCAAATCAGTGCCCAGCTTGAAAAATGCTGGAAAAATAATACCGGCAGACAAACATGCTTGAAACATACGTTGTCCACTTTTTTACAGCTCAGTTTCCACCCTGATTAAGTGTGTAGTTAGCTAACTGGCTAAATGATTTTAGCTCCATATTTAATATTTTCTTTTACTATTTGGTTCTTTTTTTATTGTTTTAGAATAACAAGCTCTTTATTAAATGTAAAGCTGCTGCTTCCTTTTTTATTGCAAGAGCCTCTTAGCTAATTTAGCTCTTTAGCTAATTTAGCTCTTTAGCTAATAGAAGCTAATGGGCAGGCTAGTGAACCTTTGGGCCTCATTCACAAATAACTAAGTTTGTTCTTAAATGTGATCTTGAGAAACGTCCTAAGAAAACGTCTACGTCAGATTCATGACGTGTTCTTAAAGCGCAGAACTGCTCTGATCTTTGTGCTCTTGAGTGTGTGTAGATTCTGTTCTTACCTAAGAACAAATCCCAAATAAGAAAAATGCTGGTGAAGGTCAGGATCTTCGTGAAAACTGCGGAAGTGGGTTTTAAGAAGAAATTTCCTTTTAAGAACGGTTGGTGAACGAAGTCCATTCTTTTGAACTTCTTAGTGTTTGTCTAAGAACCTTCGCAAGATTTTTCTTAAAGGTTTCGTTAATCCTGCCCCTGGATGCCAGTTTTGCAGTGTTTTCCAAGGTTTGGCGCAACAGATTCAGCTATTCATCTAATTATCAAGCCCTTGAGTTGAATTAGGTGTGCAGGAGAAGCAAAAGCAGTAAACTGCAGTGCAATGACCACTGCAGTTTACTGAGCAGTGTAAATACGTTTGACTATGGATCGCAGCGATATATAGTGCAGACTGCGGTAGGTCAGCGCTCCAGACTGACGGGGCATTCAGTGCAAAGGCATTGATTGGGATCCTTAATGGCTATAGCATCAGCAGCTTTCTGAGGCAGGTGCTGCAGAGTGCAGTGGTTCTGCCCTTGGGCTGTCAGTATTTTTCAGAAAAATGCTTCGCTTCTCTGTATTTTTCTTTTCACTTCATAAGCAAATTATGCCTTTCTTTGCAGGTGTAGTCGGACCAAAATGCTTAACGTGACTAATGAGCAGAGAAAGTTAGTCAATCTGTTGCTACTTGACTGAAATCTTAAGCATAAATATGAGAGCCTCCCTTAAAGTAGGTGAACACACAAACACAGACAGCCATATGTAACCAGCCTTAGGCAGTGCAGGCGATAGAAACGCTAATCCAGCTCAGCAGCTCTCCAGCGCTCTACTGTTTCGCTGCGCAGTGCAGTCCTGTGTACAGAAACGGTCAATCGTTGCATATTTGCCAGCATGGAGGCTCCTCCAGAACTCAAATGTCTTGGTGAAAGCAAGGCTTCAGCCACAAAGGCCTCATTTAGTGGAGATGAAATAGTCCTGGGATAGTCTAAGTTGCATTTATTACGCAGTAAACACTTTTTAATCCAGAACTGGGCTTAATCTGAGAAAAGGTGACTCAGACTGTGTTATATAATATCAGTTTCCCAATCCTGGCTCTGGAGTTCACTGCCCTTTCATAGGTTCCCTGCCTAAACCCGTTGGACTGTGCTGGGCTGTGCAGGTCATACAATAACTATGTAGGCGTGTCTCAAATAAACTTTCTAGGATGTGTTTGCAGCACTTTCTAGGGTGTAGAAAGTGTTGAATTTGCCTTAATGACAGACATCCCATGATGCATCTCAGAGAGTAACGGGTGAACATGTGCCTCTAATTACTGTGTATCCCATAATGCAATGCAAATCTACATTTAAAACATAATACTGAACTCTTATTAAAAATGGACCATTTTTGGTGCTGTAGAACCAATTTTAAGAGGTCTTTTAAAGCACCACACCGTCATAGAGAACACTGACACACTTAAGTGGTTCTTTCAGTTGTCAAGGTTCTGTGTATACAGTCGTATGCAGAAGTTTGGGCGCCCCTGGTCAAAGTGCAGGTTGTGTTGGTTTTGTAAGTGAATGTAGCCTCAAAAGAGAACATACTTCACATGATTACTGTTTATTTGCTTATTTTTTCCCCCAAAATTGTTAAACTTAGCAAATAGAAACGGTGCACCGAAATTTGAATTTGAAAAATGCCATATTTAAAATCAATAAACCATTAATTTGACCGGGGCTGTTCAAACTATGGTTGTTACATACAACCATAACCATTGCCTGTACC